AATGCCCCCCCCCCCGGGGGACTGCAGGTCCCAGGATGCGGCAGGGCCTGGCGGGCTCCCTGCCACAGCTCCGGCCCCTCAGGCTTGGGGAAGCCGCGCTGGAGAAGCCTGGGAAGGGAAAGGGAGGAGAGAAAGAGCCCTTGTGCCACACAATCCCGGGCCTTGTACCCAGGCTCAGCTGCTGCTGGAGCCAAACAATACGCTGCAGACCGGAGGAGAAGGCAGGGTGCTGACAGCCCATGGCATCCCCAAGAACAGAGCATCCCTGATGCCCGGGGAATATGCCAGTAAATACTGGCTCTGGTGTATCAATAGGGAAACTGAGGCACGAGAAGTGCCTCTGTTTTCCCAAGGCTGACGGCGTACAAGTGGCACAGGCTGTGGCAGGTCCCAGCCCCCTGCCCAGACCTCCCAGCTCCCTCCGGCTGCGGGCAGGAGCTCTCATCTCTCTAGCCCGTGTGGCAAGGGCTCCGGTAGGACTGGCTGCGGGGATGGGATCTGTCCCCCCGCCCCTCCCTCCCGGCCCCCCCAGCAGCACCCTTGGCTGCCGGGCGCCCGGTGGCTGCGTGGGCAGCGCTGCCCCACGGCCCCGCTCGGGGCTTTCGCGAAAGAAAGAGAGCGGTTTGGGGGGTGCGGGGGTTCATGGGGTGTCCCCTCCTCGGTGGCTCTAGGGACTCCCCCAGGCCCCCTCGAGCTGTCTTTGCCCCCGCAGTGGGGGAGACTGGCCCCACGGGACAGCAGTGATGCCTCTCTGTCCCGTCTCTGACCCCCCAGAACCCGCCAGCGAGGAATGGGGTGTCCCCCATCCCAGGGACCTGCTTTCAGCCTTGGGGGCTCCAAACTGGGAATTTTCCCCCTTTTGATGGGAATCCTGCACCCGCTTTCCCTGGCCCCTTGGCCCCTGCAGGGGAAATGTGCTCGGGTGGGCGAAGCCGTGGGGTCCCCAAGGCAGGGGTATGGGACCTCCTCTGGGTGGTCCTGCTCCCATGGGTCCACAGCTCCCATGGGTGCCCCCAGCTGCGGCTGCGGAACCAGCACAGAGCTGGGGAAGCCTGCAGAGGGCAACCAGCCCCTTCCCGACGGGCACAGGGTGGACAAAGCCCCGCTGTGTCCCTCAATGCCCCGCTCTGCGGCAGCCCAGGAGCAGGTTGGGCCACCTTGTGGGGACCCCTGCCCCTTCCTTGCCTCCCCAGACAGCCACCCCTCGGCTTGCCCGTAGATGGGCTGGGGGCAATGGCGCTTGAGCAACTGTGCAAATGCTCCCAGGGCTTCACGATGGCCAGCTGCACCTCACATCGGTGGGACCCAGCTTCTGGCCCCCCCCCAGCACTACTCCCTGCCTACGTTTCCCAGAGCAA